CCCGCACAAGCCGCGCGCCCTTCGCCCGCTTCGCCTCCGTCTGCGCGCGCGGCCCATTGCCCCGAAGCACTGACAAGCGCGTGGCGAAGCGAGGCGGGCGGACAGGAACCATTTTAGGAAACCAAATGCGAGCGCTACCCCACCTCCCCCCTTAGAACTCGTGGGGAGGCGGGGTAGGGTTCGCATGTGGCCTCCTGCACCTTGAAAGCCCCAGGTTCAGGCGCCGAGGCCGCGGGGGCAAGCTTGGCGCGGAACGCCCGAAGCCCAGCCGCGAGGCAGCGGGGTGGGGGGGGACATCGAGGCGGGGGCGGCGGCGGCGGCGGCGCTGCCCGGCGAGAGGGCGCGCCGCGAAGCCAGGGCGGGGCACCGCGAGGCAATGCGGGGGGGACGGGAAGGGGGGGGGGCGCCACGAGGCGGGCGCTGGCGGCGGGGGGGGCGAGGCGCCGCGGCGCCAAAGAGGAAGAGCCTCGCGAAGGCGCGCCGCGGGGAGCGGCGGGGCGAGGCGCCGCCGGGCCGGGGGGACGCACCGCACGGCGGGCGCGGGGGGAGCTGGGGCGGCGCGCTGCGAAGCTGCCCCGGGCACCGCCAAGGCCGGCCTCGCGTCGCGCCTCCCCGATCCCGCCGGCCTCGCGCCGCGCCTGCCCCGAGACTCTCGGCGCCGCCCGGCGGCGCCAGGGGCTCCGTTTCGGGGGGTGGCGGTCCTGAGCCCGGGGCGGGAGGCGGGGGCGCCGCGGGGCCAGGGGCGCGCTGCGCGCCGCGGGGACGGGGGCACGGCCAGACCACGAGGGGAGCAGCGCGCGAGCTTCGACGGCGGGCGCCTGCGATCCGACGCCGAGGCCCACGACGCGCGCGGCGAGCGCGTTTCGCGCGTGTTCTTTATGGTCCAGGATGGTCCTCGGTGGCTCTCGCCGAGCGGTGCCAAGTCGCCGGCGGGGCGTGGAGGGCGCCCCCTGCGTCTCGCGCCCGCGCGGCCGCGCCGCCCCGCCCACGAAGCTGCGCGCGAGCTCCACCTCCCCGCCGCCGCGGCCGTGAGCCCCCACGGCAGGGCGCGGCCGTGAGCCCCCACGGCAGGGCGCGGCCCCGAGTGGTGGCGCCCGAGGGCGCGCCCGGAAGCGCGCGCAGAGCGGACAGGATATGCCTCTCACTCCCAATGGCGCTGTGGCTCGCTGTTGGGCGCGGTTGGGCGCTGCCTGGGCACTACAGGGTGCTACTGGGCGATCCTGGGCGCGATGTGGCGCTCCTGGGCCCTCCTGGGCGCCATTTGTTCGCTGGTATACCTTCCATCAAAGACGAGGGGGGGGGAGGAAGAGAGAGAGAGAGAGGGGGAGGGAGGAGGTAGGAGAGGGAGGGAGGGAGGAGGGAGGAGGGAAGGAGGAGGGAGACAAGGAAGGAGAGAGGGAAGGAGAGCGAGGGAGGAAGGAGGGAGAGAGAGAGGGAGGGACGAGGAAGGAGAGGGAGGGAGGGAGGGGGGGAGGGAGGGAGAAGCGAGCAGGCGGCGACGAACGCGCAGGCGGGAGGCCAGGGCTGGCGGAGCGAGGCGCGCGGGCGGCGGCCGGGGAGGCAGCACGGGGCAGGAGGAGGCCCCCGAAAGTTGCTTATGTATATCGACGAAGGAGACGACGAAGACGAAGAAGAAGACGAAGACGAAGACGAAAACGAGGACGACGAAAGAAGAAGACACCAGAGATGATGATGTTCGGGGTTCCGGGGGGACGATAAACTTGTTGCCCCGGGGAGTCGCATGTACAGATGCACGGATAGCACATAGACAGCTGAAATGGTGAGAATCCTATGGCCCTGCCACACGTTCGTGACTTGGGAAAGCTGATAAGGTGGGAATCCAATGGTCCTGCCACACGTTCCTGACTCGGGAAGGGCTGAGAAGGTGAGAATCCCATAGCCTGCCAAACGTTCGTGACTTGGGAAAGCTGTGATGGTGAGAATCCCATACCCCTGCCACACGTTCGTGACATGGGAAAGCTGACATGGTCCGTTTCACATTTCCCTGTCACACGTTCGTGCTGATGTTTCTTCTCTACATAAGAAGATAGCAACTTCGATTCGGAACTTCCCCCTGGGATGATGAAGTTCGGCAACGCCGCCCCTCTCCCCCAACTCTGTCTTGGCTGGAGATAATCAAGACCGGGGGCGTAAGGGGCGGGATGATTTTATGTACCGGGGCATGGGGTTATCCTGGATAGCTGCGGTCCGGGGCAACTCCGGTTTGGGCCCTCGAGGCACGAACCCGTAGCTTCCCCCCGACTGCTGCCAGCCCCGATGATTCAGGGTTGGAAGCCCGAGCTTTCAGGGATAACTGCGGTCGAGGGCAACTCCAGTCTGGGCCCCCGAGGCGCGAATCTGTAGCTATCCCTGGCTGCCCCCAGCCCTAATGACTTGGGGCCCTGACAGAGCGCGTCTCGTGGACGCTTGTGTGTGAAAATCAGAAACTCTCTGGACGCGTCGGAACCGGGGGGAGGGACCTAACTTAAGGGATGGAAAAGCACCCCTACCCTGGGTCAAAGGGGTGTGGTCTGCAAACCTGCCGGGAGCTCCCAAAAGGCCAGAGAGCCGCCAGGACGCCGCGCGACACGCGCGACATACGCAGGGCTTGCCCTGTCATCCCACGGCAGGTTCAGCGCGCAGCGGCGCCTCGTAAACCCGGGCAGGGGCGCGTTTTCACGCCCTTGACTAAGAACATCTGGCGCGCCTTGAAAACCAAGTGCGGGGGGGGGGGGGGAGAGGCGGACACCAGCCTCTCTAACGGGGGGGGGGCCCTGCTCCTGCGAAGGGGGGGGAAGGGGGGGGAATTCTCGAACCGGGGAGATGGAGGGGAAGCCCTTTCCGAGGGATGGGGGGGGTCGGAACGGGGGCAACAGAATCCTATTAGAGTCCGATCAAATTCTGATAGGATCCAGCCAGCTATTTTTAGATCCTGATTAGATAGGATCCTATTATGGTAGGATTCTGATTCTGATAGGATCCTATTAGAGCTGGATCCAGCTATTTTAGAATCCTACCCAGGCTTGATCCAACTTTGGAAGCGTCCTACTCGAGCTTTTCCCGGCCCTGATAGAATCCTACTGTGGCTGGATCCAACTCGATCCACCTCCCATGGAATCCGACTAGAGCTGGATCCAACTGTATCCTAGTAAGGCTCGGTCCGCCTTTACTCGCACCCCAGCAGGGTTCGATCCAGCTCTGCTTGCATCCTACTGGGGCGCAATCCAGCTCGAATAGAAGGGCTGGATCCAGCTCTGATTGACTGGTAGGGCTCGATCCATCGAATAGAATACTGCTAGGTCCCGATCCAGCTTTAAAAACATCCTACTAAAGCTCGATGGTCGTCGACGTCGTCGTCAGGGTCGTCGTCGTGGCCATCACCGTCGTCGTCGCTGCCCGACGGCGCCGGCGCCGGCGCAGGGGGAAGCCCCTCCAGCCTGGTTCGAACCCCCCTCCTTAAGGGGGGGGGAAGTTCGACCCCCCCTTCGTGTGAGTATGCATATGTACACTAAAACCATATACATAAATGTACATAGATATATACATGCATGCATGCATTGTACACACACAAACATACATACATACAGGCAGACAGACCGACAGGCGGGCAGACAGACCGACAGGCAGGCAGACAGACAGACAAACTGATAGACAGGCATTACATTATAGTGAATTGCATTACATTGCATACATGCATGCACACATACATACATGCGTACAGATGTACACATAAAACATATACACCTAAAACACCTATACATACATACATATACATATATATATATATATACATAGACATATGCATGCATGCATACCTACATGCATGCATGCATGCATGCATCGTGCACACATACATGCACACATACATACATACATACATACATACATACATACAGACCGACAGACAAACAGACAGACAAACAGACAGACAGACATTCCGTTACAGTGCATTGAAATGTAATTGCATACATACATGCATGCATACATACATACATGCATGCGTACATACATACATGCATACATGAAAATGCATGCAACCATGCATAAGTATGTGCGTACGTACGTACGTGCATGCATACAGTTATACATGCATGCATGCATGCATACATGCATACATGAATACATATATACATATACACATGCATGCATTCATGCATACATGCACACATAAGCACACGCGTACATTCATACACACATACGTACATACATGCATGCTTGCACGCATGCATACATAGATACATGCATACATACATGCATGCATACATAACTTGGTTCAAGCGCAATGCTGGGGAGAAGGGGGAAAGCTGAGGGAAATGACAGCGCGACGAGAACTGGTGACCGCCAAGCTCCGTGCATGTAACAGACCATGTAAAGGTACACCTCCGCCCTAAAGGTGCATGCATACATACATGCATGCATGCATGTATGCATACATCAATGCACGCAAACATACAGACATGTATGCATACATACATGCATACACACATACATGCATACATACATGCATACATGCATACATGCATACATGCATACGTGCATGCATACATACATACATGCACACGCATAGATGTATACATCTATGTATATGCATATGTGCATACATGCATGCATGCGTGCATGCATACATGCGCACACATACATTCACGCATACATACATGCATACGTACGTACGTACATACATACATGCATACATACATGCATACATGCATGCATGCATACACACATGCATACATACATACATACACACATGCATGCATGCATACATACATATATACATACATACAAGCATACCTACATACATACATACATACAGACACATGCATGCATGCATGCATGCATGCATACATACATATATACATACATACAAGCATACCTACATACATACATACATGCATACAGACAGACAGAAAGACAGACAGACAGACAGACAGACATAAATACATGCGTGCATGCAGACATACATAAATTCATACACAGATACGTGCCTTAGTACATATATACACGCATACACACATAATTACAATACACGGTTGTCGTGGAAGCCACCTGGTAAGACACCACTAGTGCGGTGGATGGTACAGGTGCATTTGCAGATGCAGCTGGTGGCGATTGAGCCACGGAGACTTGACGAGCAACCCCTGTCCTGTAGCAAAGGCAACAAACGCACACACACACACACACCATCGAAGAGGGGCGGAGGTTTCATGCCAGGATGCTCCATTTACCCCGGCCCACCTCGCCTGCAGCCAGCTGGGAAACGGCCTCTACGGCCACCATTTCCAATCCTGGCAACCCCTCCCCCTCCTCCCTCGTTCGCGGGGAGGGCGAGGGGACACAACAGGGCGGGCTGGATTGGCTGGTGTAGCGAAGATACCACATGCAAACTCGGGCGGTTTTGCGTATCCATCTCAAGTGGCACGGGTGCGAGAGGAGCACTATTACGTCTGCTTCGCGCCGTGCTCTTTGCACACCAACTCAGGCGCAGGGCCAACGCAGAGGACTCACGGCCGCTCACCGACGATTCCCGAAGATGCGCAGAAGGTGGACGAACAGCTGTATTATGTCGATGTACAGCATGATGGCCGCCATGGCATAGTCATCCACCGAGAACTGGTACTTGTGCGTGCCCCCGACTATCATCTGGGTGTCGAACACGATGTATGCCGAGAAGCAGGGGGACAGTAGGAAGAGGAGGACGGACAAGGGAGGGAGGAGGGGTGAGGGAGCAAGAGGCGAGGGAGCGGCAAGCAGGGCAAGTCGGAGGGGAGGCAGGAGCGGGAGGAGCGGGAGAGAGAGCAGGGACCCAGGAACGAGGGAGGAGGGCGGAGGGCGGAGCGGGACGGGAAGAAGAGGCATGCGAGGCAGCCAGGAGGGGGTGGGGGCAGGGAAAAGGGCCACTCTGCACACGCCGGGGGCCCGCGCCGCCCTCCCGGCCGGTGCCCTGGGCGCCCCGCTCTCGGCCGCGGGGGCCTCGAGCCTCGGGAAACAAAAAACAAAAACAAAAAAAAAAAAAAACGCGCGCGCGCGCGGCCGCCTCGCCGGCCTCTGCGGCGCCGCGGCGGGGCCCGCGAGGCCCGGCGGCGAGGCGGGGCCGACGGGGCCGACAGGGCCCGAGGGAGTGGCGGCGGGCTCCGAGCGGCGGGCCCGAGCGCGGGCTCCGAGCGCGGGCTCCGAGTGGCGGGCCCAGGAGTGGCGGCGGGCTCCGAGCGCGGGCCCGGAGAGGGGCCGATGTGCCCTGGCGCGCAGGGGCTCGGCGGCGAGCGAGGGGGGGAGGAGCGACGCGAGCGGGAGGAGGTCCTCTCGGAGGGCGGCGGGGCTGCTCGGAGGCGCCCCTCCTCGGCCCTCCGGGGAGCGTGCGCTCGGTGCCCTCGGGGGAAGGCCGGGAGGACTCCTCCCCGGAGGCCGAGGCCCCGTCTCACTTCCCCCCCTGGGCTCCCCCCCTGGGCTCCCCCCCTGGGCTCCCCCCCTGGGCTACCCCCCTGGGCTCCCCCCCTGGAGGACTGCTCCGGACGAGCGGGCGCGATGGCGCGGCGGCGCCTGCCTCTTTCGCACGGTGCGCACAACGGTGGGGGGCACCAGACCGCAGGCTGCCATACGGTGAGGTCGGACATGTCCTCCGGATGTTGAGCAGAATCGAAAAAATCGTCCAGAATAGGAGGTCGGGCATGTCCTCCGGATGGTGGAAGAAAAGCGTAACGTAATCATGAACTCGTCCATGAAAGAGGGAAAATCGTAACCAGACTATGTTCTTACCGTTCTTGGATACTCCTCCTGTAGAGGGGCATGCCCGACTGAACCTTAGGTCGGGCATGTCCTCCTACAGGCGGATTCTGTACGAAAACTAAGAATACCCCAAACATGCCCCCGCTATTTTCCAGATATTGTGACATTCCGCCTGTAGAGTTATACACATCCCAGAAATAATTTCGAGCAACCTTAAAAGTGTCGAAAGAGTGTCGAAAAAGTGTCGAAACAGTGTCGGACGAGTGTCCCAGGGCCCGACACGTGAAAACCCTCGAGTTTCGGTCCTTCTTGTTGGTGCTCGAGGTTGTTTCTGGTGATCGAGGCGAAAGGAGGCTGGAACATCATAACTGTAGTAGAGTTAGGTGGCATATGATGGGAGCTTCGTTTGTCGAGCTTAGCGTCGCCTGCGCCCCACCCTAGTGCAATCTAGCGCAATTTAGTGGCGTTTAGTGTGGCGCGGCGGGAGGCGCTAGTGCAATTTAGCGCAAGCTAGTGCAATTTAGTGGCGCATAGTGCAATTTAGTGGCGTCTAGTGCAATTCAGTGCAGTTTAGTCAAATTTAGTGCAAGTTAGTAGCGTCTGGTGCGCCCCACACTAGTGCAATTTAGCGCAATTTAGTGGCGTTTAGTGTAGCGCGGCGGGAAACGCTAGTGCAATTTAATGTAACTCAGTGGCGTCTAGTGCAATTTCGTTGCGTTTAGTGCAATTGAGTGCAACCTAGTGCAATATAGTGCAATTTAGTGCAAGTTAGTGGCGTTTAGTGCGCCCCACACTATTGCAACTAGTGCAGTTTAGTTGCGGTTAGTACAATTTAGTGCAATTTAGTTCGCAATGTAGTTCGCCTGCGGGATTGCTCGCACAACTGCGATGCCGCGCGCGCGCACCGACCGGCGTGCACGAGCAACGCTACGCAACACTAAACAACACTAATACACACTAAATGATCACGAAGCAGGAAGCAAGACACCATATTGGGTGAAAAAGAAAGCTCCCATCATTTGCCACCCAAGTAGAGGGGCATGCCCGACGTGACCACACGGCCCGGGAGCACCCCCCCTGGACTGGCAGGGGGGAGGCGCGCACGCGACCCGCCCCGCGGGGGCCCCCCGCTCCCTCGGGGGCGCCAGGGAGGGCACTGGTGGAGCCCCCCCCCAGGGCCGAGGCGGGAGCGGTGCGAAGCTCGGATTGGGTCGGGCATGTCCTCCTACAGGCGGCTGGCGGGGGAAGGATGACACAATCGCCCCACAAGCAATCAAGCGTAGCATCAAAAAGAGACCAAGAATCGTCCCCATACCGTCTTTGGATATATCCCTCCTGCAGAGGGACACGCCCGACAGACAGCTCGGAGCGAGACGCCCAGGCGTGCCAAGCGGATGCTCGAGCGGACGGCTTTCCCTGGTCCGCAGCGAGGGTCGCAGCGGATCTCGCTGCTCTCGCCATGATCCCGCTGCGCTGGCCTCGGGGGCAGCACGGCGGGCTGTCGGCGGCCGAGCACGCGGCCGAGCGCGCGCAGCGCAGCCGCCTCCTCCTCCTCCTCCGCCTCCTCCTCCTCCGCCTCCTCCACCTCCACCTCCACCTCATCCACCTCCTCCTCCCCCTCCTCCTCCTCCTCCTCCTCCTCCTCATCCTCCTCCGCCTCCTCCTCCTCCTCCTGCGCAGCACGCTCGGGGGTGGTCGCGGCAGCCGGCGCCCGCTCTTCCCAGCCAGCAGAAGGGCACCCGAGCGACGCTCAAGAACGGGTCTCGCGCGAGATGGCACGGCGGCCTCACGCCGCAGCTCAGACGGGTCGCCAGCGCGGCGCGCTGCAGCTAAGACGAGGGCGGTTATTACGCGCGAGCCCACGCGGGCAGCTGACGCGCCGATGTCGGCGCAGGCGACCCCGTTTTTTGGCGTCGCCCACCGGGGGTCGGTCCATGGAAGGCTTTAAAAAAACAACGACGTGCCGCCGTGGGGAACCCATCAGCGTGTTATTGTTAGAGAGGGCACCAGACCTTCAGACAAGAACGGGGGAGCAACGCGCGAACGGACTCCCAGCGGCGGCGTGTCCTTGGTAAGTTTGTTCCCTCCCGAAGCGAAGGAAGAAAGACATACCATACGCCCGACTGCGCGTCGGCGCTGTATACGCTGAGGCGAGCGCGTGAAACTGCTCGATCGGCCAGTGCACGCATCCCATCGGCACCACACACTCGAAGAACGTATGGGTGCACTTGTGCAACCCGCTCCAGCGGGGCACCCCCAATTTTCCCGAGGTCTAGATCGCCTTGCGTTCTGCGCGTCGTCGCACCGCAAATGCCCAGAGTGCATCTCCCTCACATGGCCCTGCTGGCCGCCGCTGGTCGCTGGTGGGCGCTATGTGAGCGCTATCCGGCGCTACTGGGCGCCATTGGGCGCTATTGGGCGCCATTTCGGGCTGTTGAGCGCTGTTCGCCGATACACATTCAATCAATCAAAAACGAGCGGAAGCTTCCGCGATGTACGATCTATGGCTGGGGCTGTCCACGACCATGTCACGAGGCCCAGCGAGCAATGAGCATCGTTGAACCGATCCCCATCCCCACCAGCATGGCCTGGGCCCCGCTGGCCAATGTACCTCCCCTAGATGCGGAGATAGGCCGTTCCCTCCGGGAATCGGGGGGGCCCCTCTCCCCAACTGGGAGTGGGCTGGTGGGGTTCAGATGCCATGGCCTGGCGTGGATGAGGATAGGTTTGCCCACCAGTCGGAGGAGGTGCGTGGAGGCAGGAGGTGTAGAGGCGGATAAGGCAGGTTGGCTTCGGGCCCGCCTCAAGTTTCCACGGAAGGCAGCAAGACCAGATCGTCTCTTGAAGCAGGAAGGCGCTCTCAAGCATACTGGGATCTGGATCTCCAAAGCGCCTGCTTTCAACGACGGGCGCGCGACGAGACGAAGGTGTCACGGGCCTGGCGCCCGGCCCCGGAGGCCGCGCAGCAGACAGAGGCAGGTCAGGCCTCTCTGGGCGTCGCGAGCAAGCCGGTCTGAAGGCCCAAGGCTCAAGGCCGGAGAAGTGGCGAGGCCCTCGTTTCAGGGATGGGCAGACCCCCCTTTCGTAAAACGTGGTTTAGTGAAAACGGCCTGAAGCCCAAACCTGCCGGGCGCAAGCCTGGAAAATGACGGCCACGGCGCCCTCTCGAGAACCGAAAACGGACAATTCAAGAATCGACGTGTCACTGTTGGGGGTTCTGTCCACCCCCGATCGTTGGCGGCGCGCACAGGGGGCACATGGGGAGGGGGAAGGTGTCTTAGAAGGAGGCCGCCGCTTGGAAGGCGCTGGCCTTGCGCCTACAGAGGATGCCCGCGCCTTCTGCGACGCAGCCTCCTTCTGAGAGGCCTTCCCCTCTCCCCCATACCCCCCGCTGCGCGTGGCCGAAGATGTAGCTGCCGCAGGTTCGTGCCGCCTCGACTCGCGCGCTGGTCTCTGGAACCGCGCGGGTCGTTCCACCGCGAACGATCGCGGCTTCCCTGATGGCGCAGATCCCTCGATCTTGGCCAGTTCCGCGCTGACGGCGGCGTTCCACCTCGAGCGCCCGCGCCGGGGTCGCCGCCGCGTCGACACGACGCCAACCTACCGCACGCCCTTGCGGAGGGAGCCCCGCTCGAGCCCGAACGTGAGCTAAACTGGCGATGCGGAACGAGAAGGGGAAGGCGGGGAGAGCAGGGCAGAGGAGGGCAGAGGAGGGAGGAGAGTGCACGGAGGCAAAGAGGCGGGAGGAGGGAGGAGGGATGGGGGAGGGAGGAGGCAGGAAGCAATGAGTGAGGATGGAGAAGGGTTAGGAGAAACTCCTGGGAGATCTTCGTTGGAAAGAGTTAGGGGCTATCAAGCCGGATACAAGGCCATTATGCAATATTCAGCCGGATCAGTCCAGTGATCAAGCTGGATTGAACGGTACTGAACCAGATTAACCAGGATTCAGCGGGATTACAAAGGATGCGAGCCAGATTAGGAAGGTTTTCGACCGCGGATACACCAGCGACGATTCAGAATTGAACCTCCCAGGAGTTGCATCTTAGGAGGGGGGTTGCACCGAGAAGAGCATGGCACCCATGGCGGAATAGACGAGGCGCGCAGTCTGGAAGGCTGGGCCGTGGAGACCAGCCATGGAGGCGATCCACAGTGTGAAGCTGAAGCCCATCAGAACGAGGCAGGCACAGAACAGGTAGGGCCCGCAGCCTGTGAAGTCGTACGTTGTTTGGCAGGCAAACGCAGTCAGGCCAACCACGACGAGACACGTGATGCCGAGGGCGATGAGTACAGACTCCTGGGTGTACTGGGCGCTGATGAAACCGACCATGATGCCCATCGCGAGCGTGTACAGCCCGAGACAGATGTAATTCGACGGAGACTTGCGCATCATATCTGGTCTACACATGAACACGCACATCATCGCCACCGAGATCGCCAGCGACATGAACAGCAGGAAAAGGACCGTGCTCTCTTGCAAAGAGTCGCCAACGCTCATGATGATCCGGCCGATGACAGCGGTGGCGACCAGCTGCGCCCCCAGGATACCATACACCTCCGAGATGTGCCCAAAACCTGGATCCCCTTTGAAGACACTCGAGCATGCGTCACGGCCTCAAGACGTGGCACCTGGCTGGCGGCCCCCGTCTTGGCCACGCGTGGCTCTCGCGTGGCTCCTCGCACATGCTTGACAGTTGAGGGGTCATGCTAATGGAGATGCAGAGCAGGGAAAGCTGCTGCATCATGCGATAACACGCTTGCATGTTTGATGTGTTTTCTTGCGACTGTACACTTCATGAGCGAGAAATGGGACCACGGCATCAAGCGCCTCAACCTTGTTGGTGGCGTGACATGCCGCTCGCAGCTAAATCAAAGGCTGTCATTGCCTCTAATTTGGCACTGATTCCCCGTACTCTCTTGATGTGAGAGGCTCTGGGTGTGAAAGCCGTCTGCGATACCACCGCTTAAGAGGATCATGTTTCGCGCCGCGCACCAGGCGTGCGGTTGAAGCTCCACGCTTCCTTGGGACACCAGCGGCTGAAATGAAATCCCACCAGCCATTTAGGGCGTCGGTGGTTTAACGAGTTTCCTCTTCCACCCCTCCTTCTTCCCCTTCGGGGAGGGGTCTACCCCTCCCCCTACCCCCTCCCCACTGACCTGGACAGGGGGGGCGGGGAGCGGTCAGAGCGTCCAAAACGGCCTCGCCGAGGAAGCCAAAATCATTGATTTTACTAAGGTTTTGGCCCCATTTTGGCCTTCTGAGGGGGCAGCGCTAATTGAAGCTCCCCTCTTCTTTGATCGATTTCCTCCAAGATGGCCCCAAGAAGCGCCCAGGAGGCACCAAGAGGCCCCAAGATGGCCCCAAGATGGCCCCAAGAGGCCCCCAGGAGGCCCCCAAGAGGATCCCAAACGGCCCAAAGAGGCCCCCCCGAGGCACCCAAGACGCCGAAAAGTCCCTCAGGACGACCCTCTACTCGCCTGGGCGTCGTTTCTGGACGGGCTGGTGGGCATACGCGAAGCGTCTAGAATTCCCCTCCTCCTCCTCCTGCGGCTCCTGGCCATAGCACTGACCAGGGAGGGCCGCTCGGGACTGTTCTGGCACCCCGGGAGAGCTCCCGGCGAAGCGCGGCTGGCAGAATACACTCCAGGGCCTTCGTGAGCCCACGAAATGTCACCCCCAAGGCGAGTCCAATAGCGCAGTGCCAATGCGACGCCAGGAGATAGCCACATCCACAACTTCCAGACCCCTGCGCCAGGTCCCTCAGGAGCGGTGCAAATGGATGCTTCCCCAGCCGCAGGGGAGGGCGATGCCCAGTGCCTGGCACTCCTCCTCGAAGTCCGGGGGGGGCACGACTCCGAAGCAGTGGACGTGGACATGCCCTGGCGGGTAGGGCCGAGGGCCGAGGATGCACGGCAGAGCAGCGACCTTCCGGACGAAGCCGTTGCGTATCGCCTTCTCGGTGAGCCCGCTCAGCAGTCGCGCCTCGCCCTGCATCGGCATCCCGGCGCCCGCGAACTCCGACATTGTACCCCGGGGGAGCGCGGTTCTGGCTTCGCCGCGGCGGGTCGTGGGGTCGGGCAGGCGACGGCTGCAAATCGGGCGCTCGGCTTTCGTCGACGCCTCCATCCGAGTTCTGGGCCTCCTCCTCCTCATCATCCTCCTCCTCCTCCTCCTCCCCCTCCTCCTCCTCCTCGGTTCAGGCCGGATATGTTGTCACTCAGCTTTTCTGCCAATGCGGGCAACGCAGTGATGACATGGTGCCAACGCTGTGTGAGTGTCTACTGTCTCAACCGTTCTGGGATTCGATGTCCACACGCGATCTGGGGAGGATAACGAGCGGTATGTCAGAAACCGACATCCTTTCCTGGCTGGTTTTCAGGTGGCGCACAAATCCCAACTCCCCTTTGGGCGTCGGTGGTTTAGGGAGTTTCCTCTTCAACCCCTCCTTCTTCCCCTTCGGGGAGGGGTTTATCACTGTTCCCTATTAACATACACCCCCTCCCCCAGGCGGCTGACGATGAGGAAGGTGGGAGAGCACCTACAAGCCCAGAGGAAGGGGGCCGTGCCGCGGCAGGGGTCAGGCGAACAGGGGGCCTGGGGTTCTGCAGAGGTGCCCGTTCCTCACGAGGGCCGCTGCCCTGGCGCGCCTCTCTGCGTGCTTCATTGAGCGCCCCCCCGCAGATCGGTTCCTGTCGCAGCGTTCGATGAAAGTCTCGAGGTAGGCGACCTCGACAAGGTTGGGCTCTGTCTGGCGGCTGGGCCTGAACCGTTCAGCAGCGCGGCCGAGAAAGCCCCTCCACGTGCAGGGGTGCCTCAGCCCGGCGCGTATGTCGGCGACGCATCTGATGAGTTGAAGAGGGGGTCTGGCG